CGATATTTCTGCCTTTTCAAACTTGGGGCCTGATGTTACCGCCTTGTAATGTTATGACTGCCTTTTCGAACTACGGCCTTTTTTTCATTGCCCATTATTGTTTCTTTTGCCCTTTCAAACTTCGTTTGTGACACAAACGTACTTGCCCCAAATAAAAAAGAACCACAAAGTGGTCATATCCTTTTCATCAGGTGCGGGACATGCTCCTGCAGGCGTCAACGCAACGACCCAAGACATTTGGCGAGGTTCAGGGAAGAAGGAAAGATAGTGTAGAATGAGAGATGAAGTAAGGTGGACGATCCCCAATGAGACTGTGCCTGGGCTGAACCTGCTCATGGAGCTGTCGGGTGAATGGTGGAGTTAATGCTTTGTAACAATCGCTTGCGGCTGGAAATATTTGCTGACGTTAGCGATTGGTTCCAAGCTGTCCCACTGAGCTCTAGAACTGAGTTCCAGAGCAGCCTCTCATTAAAAATGGAACTGACTGAGTGTACTTTGCGTGTACTTGTGTTTGTGTTTGGTTACCCTTCACCTCTTCCCATGGGGACCAATGCAATGCCCTTTTTCGTCATATGTCATTAGGAAGAGATAAACAAGGCTTACGATAACTACACTGGACAAACAAGCCATTGATGACAGGGGTGAGGTTGTTCTTACTCTTCCTCTGACATTAAAAAAAAAGAAGAAAAAAAGAGACATATATGACGTGCATATACAATCCGATAGCGAACAGCTGAATCCCGAGGTCGACTGTCCAACTATGTATGACAGGTAGCAGAGGTAGCAGAAATGTTCAAAAGGCGCGACTTGAAAACACATCTCATCAGCTCCTACATGCGAAATACAAAAGGGATGAGTACATGCGAAATACAAAAGGGATGAACCACTTGGATCTCACAAGAGCGACAACTGCACTTTAATCCCTGCTTGCTCTGTATGCCTTTCTAAAACCTGAGGAAGAATCACTTGTGCTTGCAGATACACTAATGGAATGCAAAGGGGGGGGGGGGGGGGGGGGGGGGCGCAATGATCCACAGAATCTTGGTCTTGTTGGAACTCACCGCACGCAGTGGCATGCCGGTCATTTGCCCCACAAGGAGGATTATACCCAAATGAATCTGGAGACAAAAACAACACGCACACAGTCAGGACAAAATAGTATAAACTGGTGCACTTTGCAGCCATACATGAGCATCTCATGGCATCTGTAGTACCGTGTGAAATGAAGGTATATACGCACATGGCACCACCTCTTGCGACAAATTTTGTTACACCTTCAGGTCCTAAGTGTGTCACTTTTGCATCCGCCATTGTCAAATTTACTTTGTCAAGCCCACATGACGAGATCATGTCACAACAAGGAAGACAATGTGGAAAGTGGTCTGAGCCACATGAGTGAGATACCTCAGCCACTTTTCTTGTGTCGATGAGCAAATAGATCATGATGTTGCTGAGCCGTCCAGTAATCAGCCGTCCTATTTACCATGCACACAGCATGGATGCACACACATATACAACGAGAGAGAGAGAGAGAGAGAGAGAGAGAGAGAGAGAGAGAGAGAGAGAGAGAGAGAGAGAGAGAGAGAGAGAGAGAGAGAGAGAGAG